TAATTGACGGAGTTGCTAACGATGCTCAGTCACGATGCGGACATAATTCTGTGGTAGAAAAGGATGCATGCCTCATTTACCTACAAATGTGGTTATCGTGCTGCTCCCGTCTCGACTACATGCGCAAAGCAGCGCCAACAACGATTAGTACGAGCTAACTCCCGTCGGTTTATTTAAAAAAGAACGGTAATATTTCCAGTTAGAGAGTACCAATTTAGTGGTGACCGTTTTGTAAAATGCGTGTACAGAGGTATATAAAGCAGCGGCATGAAACGAAATGCATGAAACTGAATAAAAGAGACAAGGCAGTTGACTTTTTCCAGTTTTACAACTTGACACAAACACCCATTCATTAGGCTTTAGGTAAGTTGTGTCGGCAAGTTAGCAAGCAATGGAAAATAGGGAGCTGCATACATACCTCGAGAGCCTCAGCCAGATTGGCGCATCGATGCAAAAGCTCATCAGTTTTGTCCCTTAGGTTCAAGTGAGGAAGCTCTGAGGACAGTTTGTCAGCGTTGCTCGAAAGCTGCTCCAGTTCTGGCAAGCGTTTTAGTAGATTATTATGCAGCACCTGAACCAAATTGATTAAAATGGAACACTTAAGGAGCCAGCATGAAGAAAACAACTTAAAAATAGAATATCTAAAATCACCTATGTACGCCATCGACGTCTTCGCATGCGACAGCGCATTATTGAGTAGATAGGTATAAGAAAAACAGACGTGCACACTTGGAGGGGGGGAGGTAAAGAACGCCCTTAGTGAGGCCTATCCGGGAACACTAGTCACCTTCAAAAGTATCGTGACTAGAACTACAAGGCATCTATCCCTCCCCCAATCAATCCCACTTGTCTTGCGTCCTGTGTATGGTTAGGTGGGACCCACTGACGAGTTGACCAGCCGCGTCCAGTTGGCAACCGAGCCAGGTCGGGAAATGGCATTGCCCACTTGAGCCAGTTTTGTAAATACTGGCTTTCTCTGTGAGAGGAATTATTAAAAGCTGTCAAAACACCTATTACTTTAAAAGCTGCCGATTGTGAACCCGATCAGTGCCCGGTGCACTTGCACCTACGGGGGAGACAGAGTGAATCAGCCAATTACAGAAGAGCGTGTATTGCGAGCCAATAGGTGCAGAATTTACAGCGTGTTCTACCTGACATTTTGACGGGCATTCAGTAGGCGCAGGTCCACCTGCGCAAATACGCTTGCGCACATGCCGCTGTCTCGCTATGGAGTGTTTTAAGTTGAAGCAGCAGGTTGCTTAACCTGCACACAGAAGACCCCCTTCTGAGAGCCTTCAGTGTTTCCTGGTCGATAGAACATGACCCTATTTTGTGGAGCCACGGACAACCATCCGTCTCAACCACTGTAATGGTACGCATTGTTTGTTTAAGGAGTTCCTCTATTCTTGACTTAAATGTATGATCTAAATGATTTACGTTTGCGCGTTAGCTAGAACGAAATCGGCACCCTGCCGTACATCAGACCGCGGGATTACAACGACATCCTAGCCGACCTGAAAACAAACTACACGGAGTCCGTCTTCTGTTCTAGGCAAATAATGATTTGGTGGTAGTGGGTGCTAGCCGAGCGCGTTACGAGGCACACTCGTCCCGTTGTTCGTTGGGGCTCACATGCGAGTCCTATTAGCAACCACACGGCGGCTAGTATGATTGGCA